ATTCTGTACTGGGCACTGAATCTACCTCTCAGAAACGACCCTTCAGCTCAATGCATCTGTGTGCTCTGTTCTCACAACCTTAATTAAGCATTCTGAGCACTTGGTCTGTGTCAGGCTCCATTCATGTTTTGTCTGGGTCTCTCAATCTCCATTTAAGGGAGGCATCCTTATCTTCATTTAAGAATAAGGCAGCAGTCTGGCTGAGCACAGTGGCTCACGCCTGTATTCCCAGCATTTTGGGAGGCTGAGGTGGGCAGATATGAGGTCAAGAGATCAAGACCAGCCTGGCCAACATGGTGAAACCGTATCTCTACTAAAAATACAAAAAATTAGCTGGGTGTGGTGGCACATGCCTGTAGTCCCAGCTACTCGGGAGGCTGAGGCTGGAGAATCCCTTGAACCCAGGAGGCAGAGGCTGCAGTGAGCCAAGATCATGCCACTGCACTCCAGCCTGGGTGACAGAGTGAGACTCCGTCTCAAAAAACAAAAACAAAAAAACAAACAAATGCAGCAGAGACAAATTAAGTAATTTTCCCAGAGTTACATAGCTAGCATCACAAACAGTTGCATCTGGGATCCGGTCCCTGGCAGCCTGCTCTGAATCCAATTGCTGGGATGTCCTGTTTCTCCTACTGAAGGCCAGTCTTTGCATCTGGGAACGGTTGCTGAGGCTGCATGTCTGTTTTGCCCTTAGGATTACGATATTGATGAAGAGGACGTGATGAATCAGGTGTTGCAGCGCTCCATCATCGACCAGTGAGCAGAGTCTGTTCTTGCTGTCTGTCTCATGTTCCAGGGCTTCCATAACGCATTAAACGTGAAACCTATGATTCCTATACTTTAACTGTTCAACAGACCTGAAAATGAGCAATGGCACTGGGACAGGGTCACTTCTGACAGGGGAAATGGGTCCCTAGGTCAGTGATCCTTTTCCCTTTGGGCTCTTGCCAAAGCTGTCTTCCCCTACTGTTCACCTTGTTTGCCACGTGGTCAAGTTCATATTGGTTCTCGGCTACTTCCAGGAACTTCTGCCTCCTCCTGTGGAAGAGAATCTAGCTTCTCCACCTCTTGTTTCCCACTCATTCCTCCCATCCCGTGTTCGTCTCTTGGGTCCCCTAAGCCAGCCAAGACCTTTTCTGGGTCGTGAATAGCACAATGAAGCAAGTGTCTCCTTTCCTTGTCCCCGAAGTGTGTGGACTCTGGCAGCCATGCACCTGACCAGAGCTGAAGCTCCCGCTGGGTCGTGGGGTTGCCAGAAGCTGGGTTCCATCCCAGGGTACATGTCACCAGTCCTCTTGGGGTTTTGTACCATCTGATGCTGGAAGTTTTGATTAGTGATATCTTCCTGTTACTACACATCCTTAGAGTTCACTGGTTCAGTCTTAAATGCCTGCATGGTGCCTTTTTAGGATAAGGTATAACCATATATTTTTGGTGGAAGTGTTTCTAGGTTAGGGAAATTAAAGTCTATTTATCCGTAAGTGGGGAGGAGGGTCAGCTAAGAATTGGGAGGACCAGAGCTTTTTGGTTCGGATTTACAAATTAATGAAGTAGTTTTAAACAACCTGGTCATGTTTACCTCTACATTTGGGAGCCTGCCTACATCCTTGTTCTAGAAGCACAAAAAGGAGTCCTCAGATGAATTAGAAGAAAGAGGTTTGGGGACTCAGCGGACTAGTTCTTTCACCTTCTTGGTAACTTAGGTTAAACTGAGTATTGTTTTTCTATCACACGTGTTTTTCTTATGACACTGGTTTCAACATGTAAAATGTGTTTGAAAACCTGGTTTGTAGATGAAGAGAGGAGCTGTAGGAAACCCAGTACCACCCCCTGGTCTGTTCTGACGAGACATTGTTCATGAGGCACAGCACATTGCATGATGAAAAGCTGTTGCTGGAAACTTGCTTTAGTAACAGCTCAAGAAGCTTGGAGTTCATATTTCACAAATATTAACATAAGGCCAAGACCTGTCAGCCTAAACTGTAGGAGCAGAAGCTCTGATTGACCAAAAGGCATATGGGTTTAGGTTGATTCTCTGATGTCATACGTCTCTAATGAGGCTGTAAGTGGCCTTGGGCTTGTAATTGCTGCTGTGGTGCTCTGTGCCTGCCAGTGAAGAGCTGCAGACGCCAAGAAGCCAGCAAAGATGGGGCCTGCTGGAGAAAAGAGTTCTTTCATTAGTATTTCTTGGGAGGACCCAGAAGTTAAGGTCAGCTTGCTCACTGTAATTTCTGGAAAAAGTTCACTCAGACCTCCCTGAATTTAGATCATCTCAGAAGTCTGGAGGGAAATCTGACAAAACTTTCATCTGAGGGAGCCCATGTGAGTGTACATCCACCTCACTGGTGGCACCAAGAAACTTACTTCCTTGTATTAAGTGCACTTCTTGTATTTCTAATAAGATGACTTTCCAGAAAGTGAGATTTGTTCTGGCTTTTAAAAGGTGAAATATAAATAAATTTCATAACTTATCCAACCGATAAGCTGTGGTGTGTGTGCTCATTCACTGCCGTTTGCCGCAGCATGGACCTGGGGAGCCTCCAGAAGATTGTTATTCTTTCTAGGAGGGAAGTTCTTGCCTGTCGCTGAGTCGTGTCTGGCTTCTAATCTCAGCTGACGCCGCCAGCTGGGCCTCATGGGGCCTGTCCTCTGGGAAAAGAACACTTGTTAGGTTGGGAGGCTCTGGGAGGTGAGAAGCGACAGCGCTCTGTATAGCAAGGCTTTAGAAGTGCGGATGACAACAGCAGCGCTGAGACCTTGTAGGAAAGGGGCTCTGCAGGGTCGAGTTTCAGGTCCTGGATGTGTTTAAGTTCGCACTCTGCCCCTAGCTGTGGGGCATCTAGCGAACACTTTCTGGACCTGTCTCCCTGCTCTGAAGTGGGCATAATTGTATCTGCCTCTTAAGGATGCTAGGATCCAAAGAGCAAAGTATACAGAGCTCTTCCTGCACAGTGCTGCGTCATGGGTGCTCACTGTAGTATTTGGCTGCTTGAGCTTCATTCTAATCCTGTAGGAACCTTAATTATTTTTAGCAAGAAATGGGAGTCACACTGTGTTGCTCACGGTGGGCTTGAACCCCTGAGCTCAAGTGGTCCTCTCACCTTGGCCTCCCAAAGTGCTGGGATTACAGGTGTCAACCACCAAGCCTGGCCTGGAACCTATTTTGTTTTTTTGAGACGGAGTTTCACTTTTTGCCCAGGCTGGAGTGCAGTGGCTCAATCTCGGCTCACTGCAACCTCTGCTTCCTGGGTTCAAGTGGTTCTCCTGCCTTAGCCTCCCAAGTAGCTGGGATTACAGGCATGCACCGCCATGCCCGGCTAAATTTGTATTTTTAGTAGAGGTAGTGGTTCATCATGTTCGTCAGGCTGGTCTGGAACCCCTGACCTCAGGTGAGCCGCCTGCCTTGGCCTCCCAGAATGTTGGGATTACAAGTGTGAGCCACTGCACCCGGCCCTGGAACCTTAAATTTAATACAGCCGAGACAGCTCAGCATCTCCAGTCTCCACCCATGCCCCTCCCTCTTTTGTATTATTCCATCTTGCAGTGGTTTAACTACCCAAGCCAGAAACCTGGGAGGCCTCTTTCTCCTTCTCCGCCACATTCCTGCAGGCCACCTTTGTCTAAGTATCAGTTGAGTCCTGGACTCCAGTTACCTAGAAAGTTGCAATTTGTGACTATTTCTTTGAGGTCTGACATTTTCCTCTAGAAATGCAGTCCCCTGTCATGCCAAAACAGTTGAGAAAATGACATTTGAACTGAGATCTGAATGAAATGAGGAGAAAGAAGCCCAGTGACTGTGTTGGGGAAGAGCATTCTTTGCAGAGGGAACCAAGCTCAGAGGCCTTAAGGCACATGGGTTACACTTGAGGCCCTGTGGCAAGGAGGCGGCTGGTAAGGCTGAGGTGGAGTGAATGAGGGAGAGAATGAGGCAGCTCAGGGCAGTGTGGAAGGCAGACCAGAGAGGCTGTGTACACATGGTCAGGCCTTGGGCTTTTCTCAGTAAGCATTGGTGGATTCTAAGTGACGTGACCCAGCTTAGACTCCTAAAGGATGCTTCTGGCTGCATTTGGAGAAGGGATGATAGTAGGGAAACAGGAAACAGATGAGGGAGGCAGCTGCAGGAATTCAGACAGCAGGTGATGGGGGCTTGGAACTGTGTGGTGGTGGTGGTGGGATTTTGAAGTCTGATCTGCTCAGGTTTTTTTTTTTTTTTTTTTTTTTTTTTTT